TATAGGCGCATCACAAAGTTGGTTTTGGACTTGGCCGTATACGCTAGGTCTTCCTCAGTTTGTTCGTAATCCGCTGATTCCAGATCGACTATCATGATTTTATCCTTTCCTTCATCTAAAACAAGATGAAAGTTATCTAGTTTGGTATCCTCGTGAGAGATACCAAACTCGTTGATAGACTTAAAGGCCTGGTAAATTAGGGGCCTCATATCTTCCTCATCTAGTACGGCGCCTTCAGGAGTTGCGACACAGTGACCTCCTATGTCTGACAGAATCAGAGCACGGGTGTTCTCATGCTGGACTATGCCGTAGAGCTTGGGAACAGTGATGCCTTGAACTGGTTGAAGCTTATTATACGCCAAGAGTTCGTTGTCAAATTCTTCTTCCCAATCCGGTTTCTGAGATTTCAAGACAATCCTGTCTGGTAGAAACCACTCTGGGAATTTGCTTTCCACCCATGGCCCTGTTATCAAAGACAGAGCCCGGAACAAGAACTGTACTGCACTTTGAATAACTGATAGCTCTATCCGCAGGAGCAGAACATTGGGGTGGCAATTGTCTGCAGTGGAACCAGCAGCTTGGATAAATCGGGTGCCAAAGCGAAATCGCTCAAGACCAAATTAATTAGCAGTTGAACGGGGGACAGAGTAAATGAATCTTGTAACTTACAGCTTTTGCTGGGGTCGAGACGTCACCAGAGACGATCTCAGCCCATGAGGCGCGTGGCGGCCCACCAGAGTCTGAACCGTCCATTGTGTGGTTGATTTTGAAATTCAGTAAGATTTAGGGGAGAATCAGGGGAATGCCAACGCGACGCGGTGGAGAGTGGCACGAAAAAAAAGGTTCAACTCAGCTTAGTCATCGCCTCTTTGAATTCCCCTTGCAAGGGCGGCCAACGAGGTGAAACAACATTATCCTACAACTTGATAATAAATCCAGAGTAACGCTACTTGGATGCAATATGTTTTGTGCTATTTAAATCTTTTTTCTTTTAATTTTAGTTTTTCAAAAATAATACCTCCAGAGAGGTATGCCAGCTGAAGCAGGCAACCAACACCGGCAAGGTCATTTCATTGGCACTCTGGTTGCTTGTGTTTCACAGAGAACCAACACCGCGGGGCTGAGCTACACGAGCGCTAGACAGCATATGCTTATTGGTCCTCGTACCAGACGTGAACTTGGAGTGTATGATTTTAACCGCCGCTGAAGGCCACAAGGCTGTTGGCCGGACTGTCTTTAACAGCGCCTGACTTCGAGACTCTCGTGGTATATAAATGTCGAATGAAATCCTGACTTGAATGCATAAACCACATACTAAAACATGTCTCCCAAACTTTCAATCAAAATTTCCAAGTAAATTTAACCATCCACCTTATCTGTCATGTCTACCAGCGAAGACCTCATCCTCCAACACTCGACTAATGTCATCAGCAACACTGGATACAAGACCGCATCTGACAAGGCCTGGGCTCGTCTATACAAGCCTATAAAGAATGTTATCTCACACACTATCATTGGCACAGATGGCCAGTATCACTCGGATTTTGAAACTGGCTTTATGGAACTGGAGGATGACGATCGGTTGCGGTTTAATCAACCTGCCATGCCTCCAAACAATCGCCATTGGAGACTTGAGACTGAGGCAGATTGCGAAAACTGGTTCAATACCGAAGTGATAAATGTAGTGCTGTCTGCTTGGCATTCCTATCCGTCACTTACACAGTCATCTCATGTCAAACCCATCTCAGAAACCCGCATAACCGAGAATGTAGATTCTACGTTTTCTGTCAAAGTGGGCCAACGAAAGACACTGGCCATAGGTGAATTCAAGCGCAACCTCCTTAATGCAGATGAGTGGCAAGGGGGAACCTTGCGAGCAGCCGATCAAAGGAAGCTCTCGCAAGAGCTAAGAGGGTGAGTGTCACTTGAATTCTCAAGGACTCTGGGTTCTTCTGCCTTTGACATGCTCTTCCTGATCCCTGCGCAACACTGAAGAACATCAATGATATCAAGCTAACAAAGGTGATAGATATGCGGCTAAATACGAGTGCCCTCAAGTCTTTTGCTTCGACGGCGAAGTTTTGGTTCTCCTCCAATTCAGGGCTTTGAGAGCTGATGACATCAGTGATGAAAAATGTCCAATCGACTGCTGGACAATCCCGATTGGCAGGAGCGGCTTAAGCCTCCGTTATGCTCTTTACCGACTCTTGGCACAAGGTTGGAGACGATGTCAGGGAGAACTAGCTCCCCCTTGTACCATAGGAGGGCTGCAGCCTTATATGAGGGAATTCTTTACCGGGTTGCCAATTTGGAGAATCAATGGTCAGAAGCAGAGGTCGCATCCAGGCGGTTATCGACGGAGTGTCCACCAGCAAACTGGAGCTTTGATGTGGTCTCACCAGGTATATCCAGTGGAGTGGGAAACAGGGCCATTCTGGGGCTGAGGGTAAGAGTTGGCAGCGTGAGCTGTACAACAAAGTAATGGACACAGTTGGCAATGGTGGTCGCTAGCTGGGTACTGCTAATAAAAGAGTACTGCACTATATCATGATGGCATTCTATCATGCCTCAAGTATCCCTGCCTGAATTCAACACCCCAGCACTCGTTGGACAAGAAGCTCGTAATCAACTCTATATTAGCAGTCGAAATTGCACTGAATAGCATCAACAGCCATAGTTCCGCTTGTACCACCGGTGCTGAAGCAGTTGTCCTGGTTGTAGCTCTTCCCGTTATACTGATATCTAACACCGCCGATATTGCGAAGACCGATTGTGTTCGCGCCAAAGTATAGATGAGGCCCGTAGGTAGTAGTGAAATCGGCGCTGAAACCAGGGCTATCTCGCTTCAGTTTGCCATTAGCAATGATGCTGTCACAGCTGCCTCCAACGACCTTTACTCCAGAACCGCCTGTAGTACTCCCCGGGATGCCAAATGATGCGAGGCTGGCCCAGACGATCACTGCACACTGATGCGCGCCAGGCGATCTGCATGTATTGACGTCACGCTGAGTAGATCGATTAGTGCATATCCTCTTGTATATGGGAACGAGAAGCGTACGGGAAGTATAGTCGAGTCTACTCCTGCATCGGCAGATGCGGCTTGAACTGCGTTTGCAAGTGCACAAACACGCAAGACATTGCTAAGCTTCATAATAATGGGGGATATAATAAGGTCGTGAAGATGTCTCGAAGAATATCCTTTGGCAGAGATGTCCGATAAAGTGTTTGCTATGGCATGATGACTCCAAGAGTTCTTTTAGCCGCTTTTTATATCCAAGGGCACATACCGTACTTACAGCAGTCTAAAGAAGCTGCTGCCTAGTAATCCACTAAGTCCCGGCCCTTACGGCACCTAAATTTACGCCCGCAAGTCTATATCCCACTCCCTAAAACGGGAAGGCTTTTGCTTAGCTTGTATAATATCTACTGCACCCTTGCTCTTTATTCATCCTCCATTAACTAGCACCAGTCTCAACAGCGGACAAGCTAAATGTGGAAATTGTGGACTCCTGGGTCGTGTTGAGCTGCCATTCTGCTGCTGAAACAGTCATACGCATTTTCGAACTAGGACGGAGTTCTTAATTCCGTTTCCTGCTAGGGACGCCGATCCATGATCTCCTGCCAATACAAGTAAGCCGTCTCGTATTTTATTAGAAACACCGCTTCCAGAGAGCTAAAGGGATCCTCGGTAAGGGGGACTAAGGCTATCACAGATTCGTAAGGTGTTGATAGCAACTGATTCATACAGGCCGTTCTCCAACGACAGATTCAGATATCTACACAAAGCTCGGCACAACTCATACCCGTAGTTTAACGCTAGGACGGAGATATGAAGATAGCTTGCGGCGGGACCCTTCTCATCATAGTCTGTCGACAGACCGGGCTTCAATGACCGGGAACCCATGTACCTACTCCATTCGCTAATCCATTAAACGCAAGCTCATCAAGAACGATGGTAGGATTGGTAGGAACCACTATGAACTCAATATCCAGCGACAATCAGGCTTGTGGACTACGAGTTGGAATGCAGATTTCGACAGATGTGCAACTGTGCTCGTTAGAAGCAGAGCATTTCGACCTCTATGCTGACAGCTGATAGGTTGCGCAATTCCTGGACGGCAAATGAGAAAGAAATGCTACCCAAATGCTACTTCCAGCTTCAAGCCCGGAATCAGAAAAGATAAGCTATGTGCGTTGATATCATAAGTAAAATCAATTACAGATCACCACGCGTCCAAGTGGCTCCGAGTAGGTTTTCAAAACAACAACACTCAAGTCAATAACAATCAGAAGTTCAGCATACCATACTAGACTATTGATGATGAATGCTATCCCGCAGGCCTAAACTAGTCTCGGCAGGCGCTTTTCATTTGATACGCACGATAGCATCGAGACGGACTTTGTAATCCCGTCTTCGACCGAGAACGCCGATCTGTGGCCCCCAGCTGATACGAGCAAGACATACAAGAAACTATCCTTTTGAAAATGCCGAAAGTACTCTTAGCAGGTAGGGTTAGTGACGGAAGGGATCCCTGGTTGGACCAATCGTGCGTGCCGGCTCTGATGCTGTCCACGGGTGTCACTCGGTCGCAATAGCTTCAGTACGTTATGACCGCCCCCAACTCCCCAGTTTATGTGATCGACATACCCATCCATGAATTGGACGTGTTGAAATGAGTCAACAATGTACTTGGAGCAATGACGGATCTTGATCCAACGGCTGACCACAGCTTGCCCTCCTTACAACACATGTATGTGAAAGGCAGTAGTAGGCCGATCTGAATTACTGAGATGTGTTTATATATTTTTAACATGTCTATCGCGGTTCCTTTTTCTTGTGTATCGGATCATTGGTTACTCTCGGGCTTTGACGATGTCGGACTCGTTGTGCCCCAACTCCCTGCTTGTTACTATCGCATCGAAATAAGGCCAAACCAAGCTTGCATTTAAAAAGGAAATTGATATTAAAAGATGTATATCAGAATCAAGTCTTGATGTATTTAGCTATACTATACATAAGCATGCCTTAATCTATACCCCAGAAGTACCGCTATCTTACTTCCAATACGTCCCCAATTCTCGAATGTCGCAAATAAGAGCTGGCGGATTGTCGACTCCGGGGAAATGGCCGCCAAAATCGTGATCTGAGGACAGAACATCGTTAGTGAATACCAGTTCAACACGGTTTTCAGGATAGGTGTAGCCAATGTAGAAACCTTGAAAAGGAGACACTAATAAAAAGAATTACCTTTCCAGTATACCAAGTTTCCAACCTTTTCCACCATAGCTCGTGGAAAAAACGCATTGTTATACTTAAAGCTACTATATAGCATCGGTGCATCTGTAGGAGCTTTGGTGTATTCCGGTCGGAAGCCGTTGGCGTTCGCAGAGTATATAAACATGGATGATAAGAATGACTCGGTGAGAAAGTAGAGGGACGTGAAGCGAAGGATCTCTCGGTGGGTGAGTACAGATGGATTAGTTCCGGCTCGGGGATCGGACCCTATAGAATGTCAGATAGGCAGACACTTCTAGGGTCTGTTCATCATTGATCACTCACAGTCAATAATTTGCTGTGCTATCCATGCTAGCTGGCCCATAGGGTTGTCCTGGAGCGCAAGTCCTATCGTCATGGGCTAAAGTTGGGAGAGAGGAACGGTTACTTGGTGAATCAAACACATGTCGCATTTGGTTGCTTACCTTGGTAGCTTGTGTAATGAAGTAGCCATTGCCGGTGGTGTTCCATTGCCCAAATCTTTGCGCTTGGAAACGTTCGTTATCCGTCAGCTTGATACCCTTGGCATCGAGCTGATCCCCCGTCATAGGCATGAAAGGGATCATTGAAAAGTGCGCGGCACGAGTAGTGGTAGGATACTGCTCGTACAAGGCATACGCGATACCGCTACCCCAGTCGGTTCCATTGACTGCAAAGGTCTCGTAACCGAGAACATCTGTCATGAGGGTATTCAACAGACGAGCTGTGTCGACAATGGTCCAGCTTGGCGGCGGCGCTTGAGAAAAGACGTAGCCTGGCAGGGAGGGAACAATGATATCGAAAGAGACATCTTTGTCTGAGGAGGTTTTCGCTTGCTCTGTCAGAGGCTTTATTACAGGTAGCACCTCGAGAAACGACCCTGGCCATCCGTGCAAGAGGAGAAGAGGAATTGCGTTTGGGTTTCCAGAACGTTGGTGAATGAAGCGGATGTTAAGATCTTCGATGCTGGTGATAAAATGGTCATAGCTAGAATCCTGTGAGCGACTGCATTCCAAGCGAGACCAACTGGAACTGACCAATTTAAATCCTCCTCTTCAGCCGTCCAGTCGAAGTCATCTACCCACTCCCTCTGCAGCTGCTTCAAAACTTTCAAGCTCATGCCGGCCGTGTCCCCCAGGCTGTCATACAAGGATGTTTCCGGAAGGTTGGTATGCTTAACAAGATCAAGCATTCTGGGTACATGCTTAGACAAGTCGACCTTGAAAGGCTCAATGCGGCCGGAACCGACATCTTTTACAGTCGAGTTCATGTTGCTGATTGACAATGTAGAAAGAGAGTGTTTTGAGTGTTGGTAGATTTGCGTCGGATACTGCGTGCAATCCTGTTTATATAGTTGATCACAGGGCGCATGGATCCACTCCCTATACCAACAATTCAAGAGACGGACGTTGAGAACGCCTTGTGAAATCGTAGTGGGAGTAGCCTTTACTTCGCATGATTGACTGACCCCTTGGCCTGCTCACCAAATTTCCTAAACCCGCTGTGATCTCTCCACTCTACAACGTAGTGCTTACTTTGATGGGGTCAACAAAACTCGGAAGAATAATGTTAAGCTCACCTTGATAACAGTAGATGAGGATATAAAAAAGTGACAAAGACTACGCTTGAATGTAGTTCAACTGCTAGAGAATAGTAGTAATAATGTTATTAGTGGGCTAAAAAGTAGAAATACTAGACTAGTAACACACTACATCGGTCTAGGCCTTGCATGAACATGCAAGGGGTTCTTGATCCATAATGCAAACACCTTTTGCTCTGCCCATCCCTTACTCCCCTCACAGAGCTCAAAGTCAAACCGGAGGAGCAGCATGAACAGGATGAGTCTCATCTCGTGCATGGCCATATTCTGTCCGAGACAGTTGCGAGGGCCATATCCAAATGGTTGATGAGCACCAAGGTCATCCATGGCGTATGTCGGGTCCGTCTTCAGCCATCTCTCGGGTACGAAAGCGTCGGCATTCTTGAAATTATCCTCGGATCTGTATGTTGACCAGTGATGAACAGATACGCGTGTTCCACCCGGAATCCATTTCCCAAGAATCTTTTGACCACCTGGGGGCGCCAGTCTCGGGCTGCCGATGGGCACTGGTGGATAAACGCGCAATGCTTCCTTCACGCAAGCATTCAGGTACCTCATCTTGGCAAGGCTTTCAAACGTAACTTCTTTGTCACTACTGACAGAGTTTCTCACTTCCTCGAGTAGGGTCTTCATCTTCTCAGGATGGATCAGCAGATGGTAGATGCAGCCGCTGAGAAGCGTAGCTAGAATGATGAATGTCAGTGGCTGATGCAGTCTTTGGATTCTTACTCCCCTGAGGTAAGCCTACCTGTTGTTTCCGACCCGGCAAGCATGAATAGCTCGGCGTTGGAATGCATCTCCTCTAGTGTAAGTTTCTTGCCCTCCTCGGCTGAGAGAAGCAAGTTCCACACATCAGGCTGATCTGAACCATTCTCGAGGCGTTGGTTGACGCGATCTTCCGAATGCTTGCAGTGTGTGACTCGCTGCTCAATGACAGACTTTGGCTCAAAACGGGTAAAGATGGCGTTTAGTATGGGATAGTAGCCAATGATGGAGGCAATAGGGAGCATCTTGAGTGACTCAAAGATGGATCTAACCCAAGGACTGTACACATTCTTGGCGAGCAAGCCAAGTGGCTGTCCAAAGCAGAGCTCAGCCATGATGTCAAAGGTGGTAAAGTTGAGCAGTTGGGTCATTTCGACGGCCTTGTCGCCATTCTCCCCGATCTCGGATATTTTGGACGCGAGAAGATCTGTATACTTCCTAAAAAGAGGTTCCTGCTGCTTCAAAGCTCGCTCTGAGAAAGCAGGAGAGAAGAGGCGACGCACTCTGGTATGGTTCTCTGTAGTGGTTGTAAGCATGCTAGGAACACCTGGCAGCGATGCGTCAGTCAGTCAAATTCCTTGTCCATGACCAAGAGTGTTGGTTGGGGCATCTTGACCATTGATGGGTTGCACAGAAAACTCTTGTGCCTTCTCCGTCACTTTGGGCCCATGAATATCGTTCCAGGCTTGGCCAACTGTGTAACTAACGTCCGCAGGGCCAAAGCGGAGGACAGGACCGTACTTGTCGTGGAGTTGTTTCATCCATTGTACGTCTCTGCCCTGCAATGAAGCATACCAATACGGAATCCGAGTGATGGCACAGATCCTGGGGCCCGGTATATCAGCAAGTGGATGTAATGTGATGTTATAGAGGGCGCTGCCGAGAAGGTAAAGGCCCAAGAGGGCAATGAATGCCAAGACGGTGTCGAACATGAAGATGAGATTCAGGATGATCCTGACACCAACAGAACTGAAAGGATGGCAGGAATCGGTGGCGGGGAGTAAAGGTTTTTCTACAATATGGTTAGAAGACTGCTGGCTGGTCATCTGAGTCTGAGTTGAACCAACACGCAGTGCAAACACGCATACCTGGAAATTTGGTCTCCACCCTTCTCCAGTCGGAATGCTACTCGGTCCAGCCTGCTCGCAAGTCAACGAGAGTGTGTTGGTCAGACCCCTGCCCAGTCGAGACTCGACGATGATTCAGGGATATATGATTAAGACCATTGAGATTCGAGCATAGCTATTGCTGTACCGCAATAAGCCTCCTGTATCTACACGACCGGTAATATATATCTCTTTGATCCGCGGCTACCAAGTCGAGTTGGATATTTCTGATACAAGTAAGGGTCGTATCAGGGGACAGCATTCTTGCATACCTCAAAGCTACGGTAACAAAGCGAGCTAACAGCTTCAACAATGCTAATCCCTGGAAGCCTTTGGCATTTAGACGCAAGGTTTTCTTTTCTTTAAAGTCAGTTGTTGGCCTTGAACCCCGAGGCTTCCGGCTGTGGACTTGTAGCGATGAACCCTACTCTTCCATTGGCTTCGGAAATCATCCGCGGGACGAGTGTGAATGCGATAAACGGTCCCCTGCCCAGCAGAATCTCGGCAAATAACGTGGAATTTCACTTTGCTGGAACAGGGCCCGCGAGTGAATCAGCCATTAGAATGCACAGGTGTAGAATCTACGATACAGTCAGCGGGATTGAACATGGCCAACAAATCTTGGGACATGATATCTAAGCTACCAAGACTTGGAAACTTCAGTGAAACTGCCTTGGTATAATTGAGTGTTTACTAAACGAGTTTGTTTGCGAGCACAAGGGCATGTCAGAACTTACTTTTGTTAGACAGGGCGCTTAACAGAGTTGCCAAGACGTTGGGAAAGCGAAATGTCACAGTAACTGTGCAAGCAAATAAGGTTGCATCAAACGACCCATGAGTGCTCTTTATTAACAAGTCGTTGGTCATATTTATTTCACGCATAATCTATACAAGATACGACATCTGTCGTTTCAAATCTCGCTTGTTTGTTTCTAAAAAGCCATTGAGCACCCCGACTGTCCGTCGGCATCATAGCTACTCGCAAGCTTCTCACACAATGGCGTCCTCCATGACAGGAGAGCAGACTCAGGCACTGGCCGAACGTCTTGAACCTCTCAGCCCAAAAGGGCTGGGCGCTTCGGCAGCAGTAGTCGCCGTCATTCTGGGCATCATCAGCTTCGTTGTCGTGTCTCTACGAGTCTATGTGCGTTGGGGCAAGACGAAAGCATCAAGCAGAGTCTTGGGTGCAGATGACCTCTTGGCAGTCCTTTCCATGGTAAGTTTCTGGTGCTATGGCTCGCAGTCCGATGCTAACAGGTGATCCAACAGGGGATCTTCATGCCAGCCGTCGCTTTTACCATCCTCGCTGTTCGTTATGGAGTCGGGGCTCATGACGCTGATATTCCTTCACCGCTCTATCTCATACTCGCTGTCAAGTACCAGACGATCTGGGAGCTTCTATATTTTGTTTCGTCAACCATTGTCAAATGTTCGATAGGCTTGGCCTGTACGCGTCTAGACAGTCGAAAGAAGATCATCATTCCTCTCCATGTCAACATGCTGGTCATGGTAGTTGTGACTATCCTCGCTCTTATTTTTGTCTTTGTCAACTGTCAACCGTTCGCAGCAACATGGAATCCAGCATTGTAAGCAGGCCAAGACTTTGACCAAACTTGCCAGGACTGACATAATTCTCTAGAGGAACGTGCCAGACGACCGTCACCCTACAAACTGTTAGCTACGTCGTTTCTGCCATCCAAATGGTTACAGATTGGACCTGCGCTATTCTCCCTGTCTTTATTGTGACAAACCTTCAAATGAACCGACGCACCAAGGTCTCGGTTATTTTCATCCTTGGGCTGGGAATCTTTGCAAGTATTGCGACCTGCGTTCGAATGCCCTATTTGAAGTATTATGATACTAAGAAATACCCTACCGAGATAGCATGTAGGTTACTTTGGCTGCGTACAACTTTATCTATTGACCCATAAACTAACTGTTTTGCTTTCGCCGGCCAGATCACCTTGGCGTTATCAGCATCACCTCCAACATCGAATGCAGTCTGGGAATCATTGCCTCTTCTCTGCCTCCTCTACGGAAACTATTCAAGTTTTACTACGGCTCTTCCGATGCGAGTGGCTACAACGCCACAGGTGATGTACGTTCCAAACCGCTTTGCTGCACAAGCCTTCCGCCAAAAGACATACTAATCGTTTTGCAGGCCGTCAACGGGTTGGAAAGCGCTGGGGCAGGCTTCAGACTCAACTCACTCAATGGTCAGGAAGAACAGTATCATGTTTCAGTGCAAGGGACTTCATCTAGTGTCACGGACCTCAAAAAAGACGATGATGCTTCGAGCAGTACGTGTATCGTGCGCAGAACTGACATTTATATTACTTGAAGCTTGTTCCCATGGAAAATGGCTATTACTTCAGCTCGTCCATAGCTGAGGAACCCAACGTAGCTCCATTTGAAAGGACAAAAGTTTGCAAGCGAATGCGAACCTCCTAGGCTAAGCAATAATGAGAATAGGATCTTGCCATGCCGGCTGTATGTTTTTATCTTTACTAGTAATAAGAAATAACAAGCTAATAGAAACTTATAAAGATCTCCTTGCTAGGGCTTAAAATTCCTATAGGTACCTAGCTAAAAGCCTACCTAAATAAGCCTATAAATAACTATAAGTACCTAATTTACCTATTTAAAGAGAAAAAACCTAAATTAAATATTTAAATATTATATTATTTTATAAATAAATATATAAATAAAATTTATTAAATTAAATAAAATAAAATAAAAATTCTATAAATTTATATTATTTATTATATATATATAATATTTTATATAATTATTTTTTATTTTATTTAATTGTTTTATTTTTATTTTCTTAAAAACCTTATTTATTCTATATATTTATTTTATATTACTTTTTTTAACTTACCTAAATAACCTACCTAGACCTACGTAGCAGGTACCTACAGCTGCCTATGGGTGCCCAATATAAAGCCCTACTCCTTGCCGTTTGTTTTGCGCTATGTGCCTTTTAGTAAGACCTCAAGCCTTGTACTTTTCAAATCACATCACAAGTCTTATGTCTAACCGCAAGCTGATGTATTCGGATTTCAAGCCACTTTCAGCGCTGTTTGGGCTACTGGCTTGCCTTGTATGCTGAACCATGGTGAGAAAAAGGTAGCTTGGTTATACTGCTATTAATAGGTCATATTACTAACCAGCTTGGGCTCTTTCATGTCAATGGAAAGAATTGTCATTGTTAGCATGCTTCTCTACAGGTCCTGGTACCTGCGTTCTATAGTCCCATTTGAAACCATCAAGCAAATACGGCGCATGACTATGGTAATTGCAACTAAACATTACTTGATCCAGATATAGGCTGAGATGGTTAGGTCTCGCTGACGTCTAACAAGGCGGGAGAGTTTTCAACATGCAGATAAGCTCGGTGAATTTTCGCCGCGATTTAGCTTACCTAGAACAACACTAACTGCTAAAACTGACTGGGGGAAATAAACTATTGATTCCACACTTTCATTCCCCTATATGAATCACTATCAAGACCGCTGGATCAAAGGGGAAAGTGCAAGGACCCCAACATAAGAACCTCTGAGACTAGGGCTTATCTACTTTGTGACGCTTATATAACGGCTCTTAGGAATCAATGGCAAAGAAGCATGTCAGACTTTGGAATCAATGATGAAATGGGTTAGCCAGCTGCAGCTAACACCGATTAACACGATGCCTCCAGTTATGCAGGCATCTGTCACAGTCCCCCCTTGAATTTAAGAAGTAGTGGATTTCAATACAAGTCTAAACATATTCCTGGTCTGATCTGTATCCTCCGTAAAGCAACAGGTTCCATATCTCTTGGCCTCGATCTTCTCTCATCAATTCACTGTGCCTTCATAATCACTACCCACACACTATGCGGTACAATTTCCCCATCACTTTCGGTATGAGTCTTCTACACCAGCTCAGCTCCGCTTCACTCACTGCCCCAAACGATTCTTCGGCAATCCTCACCGGCCATTTCAATCAAGACCATACATCTGAGTTGCGCACCAATCTCGCCAGGTTCCATACGAATCTAGACTCCGGAAAATGGGAGGACAACGAAAAGTTGATCACCCAAGACTATTACTGGAACTATGACGGCAACACTTTCATAGGGTCGACCAACGCTATTGAAGCCCTCGGATATGTTGTTGAGGGCCCCTTGCGCGGTCTGAAAGCAACCGATATCTACAATATTGTGGACGGGAACAGAGGTGCAATTCTCCTACAAATCTCTGGCAAGCAAGCTGGCGAATTTGCTGGTTTACCTCGGCAAAACAATGGACTGTTCAATGTCAAGGAGGCAGAGCTACTCATCTTTAACGGCGCCGCTCTAGCTCATTCCGCATTGACTATAACGCCTATCGCTTTGATGAAAGAGCAGATGCAGGGCATTATTGAAGCTCCTGTACAGTCCGAGATGAACATGAGACCAAACCCACAGACCCACCGTGCATTTCGCCAACAAGCAAGGAAAACATTGGCCTCTTTACATGCAAACGTTAACTCGGGACGTGTGGGAGAGAATGGCCAGTTCGCTGCTGAGAATGTGGAGGTTGAGCTGAACAATCAAGTTCGCCGAGGAAGAGAAGCCTTTATCAACCTTGTTGCTTCCAATGCTGCAGGTAGCGGAGCATTCCCGAAAAAGACGTTTCATGATGCGGAGGTGTTGGTGGATGGCAAACAAGGGGCAATCGAATATATTTGGCTGTCAAACCAGGAACAGGGATATCCCGGTCTATCCTCTGCCAACGGCACTGAAGTAAAGGTCAGGGGCATGCTATTCATGGAATTCAATGATGCCGGTCTTATTACTAAAG